ACTTCAGATATTTTGTCAAATTTAGTCTCCTAAATGACCCAACTAAAACTATATAAAGTGTGGGACTGCTTAATAGATTGGACATGATTYTTCTCGTCAATATTTCAGCAGGATTTCAAACCCTAAATCGTGCGATAAGATTATTTATGTGACGTGGTTGATGGTGGAACCCCCGCCCTTCTCCCCCTTAAAGCACCGAGCTCTGACAAGCTGTGAAATCTGCTCTGCAGCCGGATTTTACGACTGTTTGTTCCATATAACAGCAGCATATTTATGTCCAAAAGTGCCTTAAATAATCCTTTATTACTTGTTTCAACTTGGACTCACGAGTTAAAGTCGTTTCTGTCTGTCTGCATGAGGGAGGAACGCTCAGCCCCCCCCCCACCCTTGCCCTGTTATCTTTGCAGCTGATGAAGCAGAGCCAAATCTTTATGACAGATTAGATGGGAGAGGGAAGTGATGTCATCTAAGTTTTATCTGTAGCGTAGTTGCTCCTGCCAACATATCTGCAAGTCTGTAGAAGACTTAACAGCTGGGGGCCTTTGGTGTTGGGCGCTGCAGGGAACAGTTCCCAAGGTCTCTCCGAGGAGCTATAATCAGGAGGAGCTGTAAAGATTACCCATCCCTCTGAGGATTTCACCTGTCTTCCCCCCAGCTCCTTTAGACCAGCAGCACCTCTGCAGAGGGTTTAGGCAGCACACTGTGCTGTGACACAAGCAGTACACCATGTAAATTATCAGACTCGGGGGGGTGAGAGTGTTTTTCTTTTTAGCGAGAAGAGAGGTGGGGGCTGAGGTGATTTTTGTCTGATTTACAGTTTTCTTCAGCTTGAAGACAAATCACGGTCTGTTTTTGCAACAAATGTATGCCGACAGAATATTTTAAGAGCTTCCACGTCAGACCTTTACCTCTGCAAGCCTTTTATCCCCCTCGCAATCCTGCATCCAGTCGTCTATCCATCCATCTTCCTCAGGGAGAGGTGTTTTGGTTTGGTAGCGATATATGTCAGCCAATGTAGTACAAAGGTATTTTCACATCCCCCAGTGGGATTGCAAGCAGGCCTAGTGTTATCACTGCTCCTGTGATGCGTTATTTTTGCTGTTGGCGTAACTTGACCTCCTTGTTTAAGCGGAAGTGGCAGCCGCGAGTCTCAAAAACCGGCTAAATGTATACCCGATGAGCCGAAATGAAAATATCCGCACTCATTATCCACCCCATTGTCATGTGATCAAACACCTGAAAGCATGAGACGTGTTTAATTGCTGTCAGAGATTGTCACGGTGTTACGTTAAAATGAGTGCTATCAGTCAGTGGATGTACAGGTAATGTTTCTGATTCACACAGATGTGAGGGGAGGGATCGTCGGTGACATTGTTAGTTCCATCCAGCTGCTTTTCACCACCTCCGCCTTTCCAGTGTATTAGCCAAGCAGAAACAGGAAAAAGAAAATGGAACAAGATAGAAACACGTATACAGTGTGTATGTATATATATATCTCCTCTGCCTTCACTTGATGCTGGCTGTGTTAAAGCCCCCGGTGAACCCAGCATGYCAGTTTGTCGGTACATGACTGCCACGTCTTGCAGGCAGCCAAAAGCAAAAGAATAAATCATGATCTTACAACCATGCGCCAGTTGACTTATTGCTGTTTTGTGACCGGAGGTGAATGGTACCACGCTTTTTTAAAGAGCCAGTTKGTTGTGGTGCAGGGGCAGGAGCCAGTCGTGTGTGCAGCCTCGTCATAGGTCCGTATAATMGTGGTGTATCAGCCCTTCTTCTAACTAGTCAGTTGGGAGGACCCCCACCACCCCCCGTGCCTTTCATCTATTGAGGCCCCCACCAACTCTGTAGCCCAGCCTCTGCCCTGCCTATATGGCCCAGGCTGACGCAGGCCGGCCCCAGCACCGGCTGACAGCAGCCCTCTCATCAGCCTGTCAGGCCTATGCTAACAAGGAGCTATCCATCCACTGTGCCCCAGAGTGCCAGCTGTCTCCCGGTTTCCAGCTTTTTCCCTCTGTTGTTCCTCCTCTCTGTTCCTCTCTTGCCTCTCTCTGTCTAACTTATTCTTTTTCTGTGACATATTATTTTCTGTCCGTCTGTCTCTCACTCTCTTTCTTTCTGACATCGCCTCCCTCTTCCTGGGAGTCTTAATGTGTCTTTCTGTTGTTGGGCAACTGTAGAACATCAGGACATCCACCCCCCCCCCCCCGTCCATCCCTTTCCTCGCTGCCTTCCGTTCCCTTCCTTATCCTGGATAGACTCATCTGCCCCATGCCATGTGTCTCCAAGTGTGTGTGTGTTTGTGTCTTGTTCCTTTAGTTTTTCCTGTTCGAACGCATGCACATGTAGCAGGCCTCGCAATGTCCTGTGTGCTCTCTCCCGGTGCCACCAAACCTGTGTGTGCCACACTTGCACCATGCCAGGCCTGACGCCAGCATTTGTCAACACAGAAAAAAGGCAAAGCGTGCATAAATGGTGACTTTGGCACACAGGGGAGAGGGAAAGGCCAGCACAGTGATGAAGCTCAGGATAAACGAGGAAGAGGGAGCATCAAGCAGAGGGGACAATGGAAGGCGACCCCGGGACAGATATGAAGTAAAAGTTAGTGGATGTTTGAAAATAAGTGTGTTGGTGGTGGGGGAAAAAAATCTAGTTGAGGGGAATTGAGCGTTTAAAGCTGGTGTGAGGAGTTCAAGAGCAACTATGTTGAYACATTCCTCCTCTCAGATTAAATTACGTTGCCTGAAGCAGCAGCTATTTTTCCACAGTTTGAACTGTAGGATTCTTCTCAGAGGACACAACAGATGCAATYCTGCTTATATATTATCTCTTTTTTGTTTTTAATGACATACAATGTGGCTGCAGCTTAGTATTTTTATGTCTCTGTTCACTTCGGCTCGTCCGRTGTTCAGGTGGACAGTAAAGGTGTGGGTGGAGAAACCGAACAGGACTCAGACCTGCAGCTTTGACAGAGGTCCTTTGTGATCCTAGGTCTTTAAGGAATACCGTTAAAGAAATCTCTTGAAGAGTTTTACGAGCATGATGACTCGKATGAAGTTCTAGCGAGCAACAAGAAGAGTTGCATGCAAATGTTACACGAGCAAGGTCTTGTAAGAACATTTAATGATCGGAATTCAAAGTAACAAACAAGTGGGAATGGAAAAACATGTTTTTCCTGCACTTTTATGATGCTAATCAATGATATTAATGTCCCATCTTGAGATGCTTGAAWGAGTTCTTAGGCTATGTTTCGTTAGAAACTATAAAGTTTCTTTACAGATTTCACCCCCCCCCCCAACTTTATTCTTCCTCCTCCACTAACTTTCGCCTCCCTCCCTTCATCCCTTCATGTCTCTCTGTCCATCTCGTTTCTCTCTGTCCCTCCTTTAGTCTCACTGATTGGGTCTGCGAAAACCAGTGTTAGTGTGGGCACTTTAAGTCTAAGCCACAGCACACTAAAAAGGCTCTCAGGGCAGAACCAAAGACCTTGACTGCTTTTTGAAGCAGGCTGTCGCTGTATAATCGGTTAGCTTCTCTCAACGGAGGGAGGGTTGGGGTGGGGGGGACACACTTGCGCACACGCACAAACACACACAGAGCAAGAGGCAGGCAGCCCCTCATTACTGGGCAGATCCCTGGTCCCCGAGGACTGGACCCAGCACCTAATCCTGTATTTGTTCTTGGGGACTGTATCTGTGATTCTCCATTGAATGGAATATTAAGCACCCAGGTCTTTTGTGGAGCGTGTAAGCCATTTGGCTCCACTCATCTATTATTTATCAGCCTGGCAAATATTTTATCAGCCTTAGCCTCTCATGACCTGCTCTCATGTGAAGCCCGCCTCTAAATGAAGAAAAAATAATAATAAAAAAGAGGGGTATGATTTTTTTCCTTTTCTTTTTTCTTTGCAATTTATCTTTTACTTTTTGCCTCGTTTGTTCTAAAACCTGGACAAGGACACGAGGATTTGTATTAATCTAAGTTAGGGAAGCAACTATGTGAGATATTTCTRTGAAGTTGCTTCCAAGTCACCTTATCTCCGCACACCGCTGCTACCATCGTTGTGGGAGATAGCAAATAAAATAAAAGTCAAGATTTGTGTTATAAATCTTCRTCTTTATTTTGGACTTCTTTCCCAGGCAGCTCCCCCGAGCCTCAACCACCCAGCCCGAGAAGAAGAAGAAGAAGAGAGGCACAGAGAGACTCTTGTTTTCACTTTCAACCTGAGAGTAAATCATGCCAGTTGGGGGGCTCACCTTGAGGCCTGGTGGAGATAATTGGAGTTGGTTAGCGAGGTGTTCTGTGCCATTACCTCCTGGTACCGGCGAATGGCTGGGGCTTGTCTCGCACTCCCAGAGGAAGAATACACCAGCCTGTTGGCTCTTTACTGTGTGCGTGCACGTGTGAGCTGTGAATGTGTGTGTGTGTGGATGCAGATCCGAGGCAGATTGGTGACCTCTCTTCATCACGATTTAATGGCCCCTTACTATCACCGCTTTAGAGAAGGAAGAAGGGTGTGATAGTTTTGATAGCCGCTTTTCCACCAAGCGCTTCACTTTCACTCATTAATATTCATAGCATTGATTTATTCTCAGAATTAACCAAAAAAAAAAAAAACTAACTGTTTGCCAAGAAATTAATCCTGACAGGAGTGTGGCATTGTTGTTTCATTTGAAGACAGCGGGAAGCAGAAATATGCATATGCAGATACACAGAGCAAGACACCAATTAAATGTTGATTAAGTCTTAAGTATTGTGGGACTGTGTCTGAGAGACAATAAGAAAAAAAATATTGCTTTTCCTTTACTGGCTTGGTATGAAAAATGAATGTAGGTAAATCAAACCAAGAAGGAAGGCACATAGACACACAAACGTGTATGCTTTTTTTTTCACAAATATTGTGAGCTTTCATACACCCGGGCTGGATCTGAGGGTGGATTCAGGGGGGGCGGGGGGGAGCCTCCCTCCCTCTTTTCCTACAGCAGCGGTTGTTTTCAGCCACAGAGCTCGCCCGCTTTTGGCCGGTCAATTGTGACTCTCTGTGTGTCAGCGAGCAGGGGTTCTCCTGGTGGTTGTGCGTGTGTGATGGTGTGTGTGTCCCCTTCACACATGGACTGTGAAGCTGCACCAGTGTAACAGCGGCTGCTGCTCCGGGGGTCCCGGCGGTATTGGCCTAGCCCGCAGTCTCTCTTGGCTAACTCATGTTTCATTCTTTGGCAATTTGCCCTAATGAAGTCCCGCAGGAGCCCCTCAGACCTCTGTTCTCTTTCCATATTTAATCATGTTATTTTAATCTGGGGGATGAGCTAACGCCTCTGTCTCCTGCTGTGTGTGTGTGTGTGTGTGGTGTGTGTGTGAATGTGTGTGTGTGCGTGCGTGCTTGCAGGTCATTACTATAGCTGGGTTTTCATGACATGAGATGTCAAGAGGGGGATGTTTGCTTTAAGACAATGGGAGACATTGACTTTAATTCTGTGTGCAATATGGGTCTGACAATATAAAAAGCCTCTTTGAGAAGCAAAGTGATTGCTGCTCATTATTTGTTAAAAACAAGGTTAATTTCTCCRTGATAACATYTGAAATAATTTTGATTTWTATGGCTACTGTCAGCCTTGTTTTGGCCTTCTTTTGTTGCCCTTTGTGCAGGTCGCAGCACAGTCCCCCTATACTGAACATATTCAGAAAATTCTGTTTTTTTTTAATGGTTTTGTGCTCGGAACAGTTTGAGATTTTTCTGCTTTAGATTGATTTTTGTAATAGAATACCACGAAGAAAAGAAGCAACATTTTTGTTGTGATGACCCATGGCAAATAAATCAATACTGAGGACGACGCTGTGTGCAGGTTCACCGTGTGTAAAGCAAGTGTCGTCTCTTTAGAGCTTTTAGTTTTGTGTAGTTTTCGTGTTGGTCTTTCTTTCTTCTGTTGTGTCCATCATAAGGGTCAAGTCAGGCTCCTGCCACAGTTGGTGCTTGTTTTAAAGTTTGTTCTCCGGCTCTTCTAAAGACATCCAGCAGATCCTACAGTTCAACCACACTTGACACATCAGTGTAAAATAGTTCTTCATTAAGGCCTGTGCTTGTGAGTAAGAAAAAAAAATCACATCAAGGATTTATCTGAAGTTTTGAAAAGTATCGACGACTTTTTTTTTCAGGTCTGGAAAAGTACGAGAAGAAAATAGAAAATKATACTTTTTTCTGTTCAATTTTAGTCTAAATTCTAGAAATGTCTTTGTGCTTTTCATGTTTCATGTATAAAAATGGACGCTTAAACTGAGCTTTTGCTATCGCCGAACCATTCAAGTAAATGGTATTTCATTGACATCAGCAATAAACAACCCTAAGTATACCACCTATTACATATTTTACAGTGTTTATCCTTGGTTTTATAATGTAAAACTACAATCATGTTGCAAACAGTGAGGAAAAAAATGTTCAAAAAATGATTTAATCAAAATTCACAGTAAATATTTGAACTAAATTAGCTGAGAAATGTGGAAAAATTGAGTCTGAAAATGTTAAGTTGGTTTTAGTCGAGTCAAATTTATTTATGAAGCACATTTAAAAACAGCATGCTGGAAAAAAACAGTGGAACTGTAATAAAAACAATAAAACAAATTAATTCAAAAGCATCAGAAAATAATCGAAGAAGGCAGAACAAAATAAGATAACACATTTGTTAAAAAGTCTGTGAGAACAGATGTTTTAAAAAACTTCTTAAAACAGGAAGTGATGAGGTCAGATTGTTCCAAAGCTTAGCTTAAAATAAAAATGTTCATAAACCCTGTCTTAGTCGCTGAGCTCTGTTAAATGATGTTCACCAGCTCAAAGCATCGCCACAACTTTCTTTAAACTTTTTTTGGTGTGTAACAAATGAATTTAGAAGAATAAACTCTGCTCTGTCTAAGCCGAAGTCTCTGTGTAACATTAACTTGTGGACAGTGGTGCTGATGCTGACCGGTCTTCTCTTTTGTTTTGTGTAGTTAACTGCATGTGTCCACGGCGCCGCAGCTTTGCTCTTTCCCATGTACTGGCAGCACATCTTCATCCCCGTGCTGCCCCCGCATCTCCTGGACTACTGCTGGTGAGGCTGGCCATCTTTAAAGCACACATCTACAAACACAATCTGTTTTATCATTTTACAAAAGACTTCTGTAGCTTTGTGTTTTTTTCTTTTTGGTTTTGTTTTGTTCTGTCACAGTCTCTGATGTCTGGGCCTGACATATAGATGTGTAAGCTCTGCCACATTTGGCTGTTATGCATCCCAGCTCAGCCTCTAAAACCTCAGTGTTAAAGTGTAGTCTCACACTTTAAAAAATATATWTTTTTAACATCCTTTCTCTCGGTCTTCGTGCTCCTATGCATACTCTGTGGCGCGCCTCTCTCTACTGTTCTAATGAACGGTGCGGATCACCGTACTCTATATTTCATGCCAGTAGTAGCGCCACGCTCTCATCATCTTAGTTCTCTCAGGRGTTCATTACCTCCCATCCAACACAAATCCAACAAATCTGAACAAACTTGACTGAAGCTGAATGGAGAGTAGAAGCAGTTTGTACAGATCTGCGATGCTTCAGATCGAGTCGTGTCAGCTTCGATGCACACGTGGGGAAGACCTCTTATACAATATAATATATRCAGGTTTTTGTTTTATTTTAATCAGAGATTTTGTACCGTGCCWTATTTCGCCAGGACGAGAACATCAGCTCACACAAACTGTTCATCACTGACAGTGAAATGTGATTTTCAACACTCTGCAAAGACTCATCATTATCTTATTCAATAACCAGGGTGTCGTCATGGTCCGATGTGATARCTAAATTAAATTAGAGGCTCTGTGTGTGTTGCTCTATGAATGCACATTGCAGCTGAACCTTAAAAAGTCAGAGTGAAGCAGCCACAGTGCAGAGCCACAGGCTTTAAGTTAATTACAAGACTGGATCTTCTGAATCACTCTGGCCAGATATATTATCAGTCTTTCTCTAAATCTTTCCTGACAAATTGTTTCTGACTGATTTTTTTTTTTTTGAGTTCATGGTAAAAAAATCTGTCTAAAATAAAATGTTTTTGCTACTTATATTTAAAACAAAGTAAATTAAAATCATTCACTGCAATAACTGTCCATCTTACCAAGTTTTAAAATCTTATATCCAGCCAAAAAGTCTTTTTGATCTTGTCTTGAGACTGATTTACTAAGCAAGAACTGATTGTGTAAGAATAATCATCTTGTTTTCAGAATGTGTAAGATTATTTGTCTTGTTAGTCTGAAAATTTGACTCAAATCAAGTAAAAAATTTCTGCCAATGGAGTAAGAAATTTTTACTTGGTAAGAATCTTGAAATAAGAAAAAAAAATGAGTCAAATTTCAAGAATCTTACCCAGAAAGATTTTCTTACTCCATTGTCAGAAGAGTCAAATTTTCATTACAGGACAAATAATCTTACACATTCTGAAAACAAGATTATTATTCTTACACAATCAGTTCTTGTTTAGTAAATCAGTCTCAAAACAAGATCAAAAAGACTTTTTTGGCTGGATTTAAGATTTTAAAACTTGGTTAGGTGGACATTTTACATTTGTTTTCATTMTATAGAGGCTGGAAAAGTGAAACTGCATCTGTTTTACCTGAATGTGTAAAAATAACTCCAGTGCTCAGAGTGTTCTTGGTAAAACATAACAGGTTATGAAAAAAAACACACAACTCTTGCTGCCTATGACATTATCATGTTATGACATTTAAAGCTGAAGAAGAATGTACACTTCAGATTATTTTCAGTACATATTTTTAGCTTTACCGGTTGTGTGTAATAGCCGTTCCATATGTAAAAGTCTTTGGTTTGACTTTTATTGTTTTGAACAGTCTTTTTCTGCAAACTAAAGCAACAAAGTCAACAAAAATGCAGTTTGTGTYTAAAAAGACCTTCAATGAATAAAGAGGATATCAGTATTAGATTTTTTAAAAATCTTATCACACATTTGTAAAGAATAAAACACGTTGTTTCATTACTGTCTGTTCTGATATTGACATTAACAGATTTCTTGTACTTTTTTGGTCCACAGTGCCCCGATGCCGTACTTTGTGGGAGTTCATCTCAGTCTGCTGGAGGTACGTCAAGAAATCAAATGTTACACTGTCAGAAGATGCTGTAATATCCCGCACATCAATAATTTATACTCATTTTTTTAAGAAAATGGCCACCTAATTTAGCTCATCCTTTAAGTGAAATTTTCGTTTTAATAAAAAGTAAAGAAAATCCTTTTTTTTGTCCTTTTCAACTTCATCTACTGCTTCYCAACCAGAAATACAAAAGACAGAGAAAAAGGCAGAAAAGGCATCTGCAAACAAAGAGCTTTTCTACTTCATTGTTAAGCCCTGCGTTGGTTTGGGAGGGGGGTTGTGTGTGTGTGTGTGTGTGTGTGTGTGTGTGTGTGTGTGTGTGTGTGTGTGTGTGTGTGTGTGCAGGCCGTCATCGGTACGGCTGTTGTGTGTGAACGCATGACGCAAGAAGGTGCACACTTTCACGTTGTGTGTAAGTGTCATCGCGTAGGTGTTTGTGTGCGCGCGCGTAATTGCGTCTTAACGTTCTGCACGTGTGTGTGTTTGTGCGTGCACGCGCGTGTGTGATACTTGTCTGACAGTTGCGGCAGTGGCAGTATTTATCACACTCTGCATCCGTGACAGACCTTCTTTCCGCCACTACATAATTAGTCCAGATCAGCATGTGAGCCTCCGCTGCACAGGCTGTCACAAAAGTGACAAACTAGAAATTCACACACTAAGCTGCCTCCACCCCCAACACACACCTGCCTGCATCCTCCTGCACCGCGCTGAAATAATTGTTGAGTTTGTCGCCATCAGGATGCACGTGGCGCCGCACGGAGTCACCGCGTCATCGTCGTTGTTGTTGATGCATGAGGTGTGGGTTCTGTGGAAAACGGTTCTCCAAATGTTCCTCATCTGTTCCACTCTTCATTCTGTGAACTGGTTATAGTAAAGATGTTCTACGGGTTTTGCTTTTTTTCTGCAGTTTTTCCATTTCGAATCGTAAAARGGTGTAATAATTGGTTTTAAAAGTGGTTGCTGTTTTTTTTATTATTATTGTTATTTAGGGCTTTTAGGAGACAGATTTAAAATATTTTCTTTATATCAGAATCTTTTAGGTAAATTCATTGTATTATATCAAAATATGTCATATGCAGAAGTCTTAAATTGAGATTATAATGTAATAAGTAAATGATTTATTTTGACTCTTGTGTAAAATTTTATGCAAGAATCTGTTTGTGTAATAATGACGAATGAAAACGGTGTTTTTTACAACAAAAATGAGCCGTTTTGTGTAATTTTATGTGCTGTTTTTTAGAAAACGTGTATATATTTTTAAATCGTTGCATTTAAAAGCTGCCTTGCAYCACTTTATATATATATATTTCCCTCTTTAGAGAGTTCGCAGTAGATCACTGGAGGATGTGGTCATCCTGAATGTGGACACAAACACTCTGGAGACTCCCTTTGATGACCTACACAACCTTCCCAGCGACGTGGTGAGACGCACACACCGACACGCAACTCCAACTCGTATTGTCTCATTAAACATGCCGAACATCAGGTTAATTTCCCCCTTCTTCACTCCGATGTAAGAATCAGACTCATATTTTCTTTTCTTTTTTTTTCTTTTTTTTGCCCACACACACAAAAACACGCACACATCCAGAAAACTTGTCAAAGTACGGCGCTGTCCCCTCCCCACATCATTAATGACTGCAGTTCCAGCTCCTCAGATTGTGGCTGTCTAAAGTAAACTCCCGTCGCGTCGTATGACGCTTGAAGGCACCCAGCATTCCCCGACCATCAGAGGCTTGTGGGAAAACGTGCAACTCCCTTCCCTTCATCTTCATCCATTCTAATCATTATTTCACAAAGTCTTGCGTTCCTGCCTGCCCACTGGCACGTTTCTGAGAACGAGCGAGAGGAGGAGGGAACGAGGCCTAGGAAAGGAAAAGAAAAGGCAGAGATGGGTGATTTTTGTGGGGGAAGAGAGAGAGAGAGAGAGAGGGAAGGGAAGAAAGGGGCCAATTACCAGTGTGGGCAGTGAAGCCACCTGCCAGCGCATCGTCTCTTTAATTAATGGTGCGCTGACGCTGGTCAGTGCTACAGGAAGCATCACCATGGCATCAGGGTCACTCACACATTTACACACATAAAGAACAACACACACACTTGTCTCCCCTGTCTTTGTCAAACCAGGAATCTGTTTGTTTAGTTAGTCTTCACAGTGTGTGTATTAAAGCTCCTCTGTGAGGCTCCGAGATCCCAGCTGAAGCTGTGGATGCACCATTACCCACGCTGCTAACAGTACATGCTCAGGTTCTGCCTACTGGACTCCTACCCCAGCAGCAGAACATAATTCAATCGACTGCCCAGCAGACCCCAGACCTGCTCGCACTCCCACACTTCTCTGGTTCTCCTGATTTAGCACACTGCTCTGCCTACAGTGACTGCTAGCGTGTCTGAATGTCTCTTTACTGTGTGAGTTCTTTTCTGCACTTTATAACATTTTCTGCCGACTTTCAATCCCGCCTGCCTGCCTGCCTTATTGCTTCCCCGGCTGCTTGGGTTTTTCGTGGCACCTGTCTGCCTACTTGTCTCTCTCGCAGTACTTCCCGCCAACCTGGACGTCTCCTGCACCCGCTGTTCGCTTCTCGTGCTTCTCTGCCTGCGCCGCCTGTCTGGCTGCACTACCGTTCTTCTCACTTCCTGCCTGCATGCTTTTCTGCACCTGGGGGACTGGAGCCCTTAAATTAAATCGCAAACCGAGTTTGTCATAAAAAGAGTTGAGGCTTTTGAAAAGCGACAGAAGCGGAGAGAAAAGCCTTTGTCTTTGCCGTGTGATAAATTAAGTGGCAGGCTCAGTGCCTTTTTTTTTTTCGCTTTGATCCTCTACTCACCAATTTCTCCTGACTAATGACAGAACATAGCCTGCATATCATGTCAAATTACACCACCTGAAGCAGAAACTTCACTGGCATTAATATATTTATCGGAACAAATCGTCGTTGTTGTTTTTATTCCCATGCAGACTTTTTTTCTTCCTCCCCTTCTGTCTCCTCTAATCTTTTCACAGAGGCTAGCAGATTAATAACAAAGAGAGCAGGTACTAATTGAGTAGAATTCCAGGTCTCTTGTTAGTTTGCTTGTTAGTGATGAGGACATGCCACATGGCATTTGATGTTGGTGTTTACACACAAGAACATGTTTGAGGCATTGTGCAGTTTGTTGAGCTGGGGCCTGAAATCCTGATTAATGCTGAGCGATTCTCTGCCTGTGCTAAGCTGCCGCCTCTAGTTTCTGAGCTATTCAAACCGCCCGTCGTTCCTCACCGGTTCTCACTGTAACGCCGGATACTTAACACTCGAGTTTTACTCAGAGTGAAGCCGAAGCCCTGAGACTTATGGAGTAATTATTATCCTTGCGTTACAAGTCCAGCATCGCTTTCTGTGGATATACGAAGCGCGAAACGAATGCAAAGGTAAAGGCTGCAGRCGATGTTTGTTCCTATTTCAAGTGCAAAAAAAAAAAAAAAACACAAAGTGCTCTGATGTTGATTTAAGCAAAACCTTCAGAGATCCATCTAATTACGGCAGCGCCGGCTGTGAGCACATGTGGACCTGGTTACGTGGCTCGGCTGACCACTGGCCGGGCTTTTAGCGGGTTCAGAGGTCACAGTTGTCCTGAATTATCCACCCTCTTTCAGACGAGGACCCCTACTCCTGCTCCACAAGTGCCCGCCCCTTAACGCTCTCTACCCACAGTTTCACACATAATATTTCAGATTTATTGACTATTACGAAAACTACCAAGCCAGTAGCGGTTCCGTTTAGCAGCAGAAGGAAAGATCTAAATAAAAGGAGTAATTGGTAACAGGTCAGAAAGGATGCCGCAGTCTCCTCCTCCTGTACCTCTCGCTGCTTTTGACATTTTTTTTTAAACTGGGAATGCCACATGAATCAAAGGTTCTTCATTAGTTGTGTTTTTGCGGATGTGAAGTTGTTGTTTTAAATACTTTCAGGAAGTTTAAACATTAAAACGAAATTAATCACGATCTATTTTATGAAACCTTATTTTGCATATAATGTGCCAAAATCAGTGGAAGTGGATTCTTTTGAATTTTGTRTAATAAATTCAGGTGTACATCAAATATTATTTTGTTTGCTTTYAATGAGTGTTTTTTCTTAATATTTGTGCATACTGTTTTATCTCATCTAAAAAAATGCAGCGTTCTTTTAAAGTTTGCGTGAGCAGGATTTTGCATATCTGAAAATTGCTAAAGTTCAGCCAAAAGTTACAGTAGTTTCCTACATTAATGTTAATCTCAGAGCGACTGTGCTTTGTCAGTAAAATCAATGTGTTGACAAGCACACTGTGAAGAAATACTCAATACAAAAAAAAAGAAACAAAAAAACATTTTTTCCTAGAAGATCAAGGTATTTATTTTATATTTTTGTTTCTTTTTGTGAGATCCATATTCTGTCTTCCACGCAGAGTTCGCACTGATAAAGTTATAATTGACTTTTGGTCGGTGAAGTTGTTTACCTCGCTAGTCATTAAAACTATCCAAGAATAGCAAATTAGGCATCTGTTAATTCAGAAAAACAAACAGCGCGGGACCGAATCTGATTTTTATTTGATTCAGCAATTGATCTCAAACGAATGACATTTTTTTTCATGTATTATTCTTTCTGTGCCTCACATTCAAGTTGAGGAGCTACAATGCAGCTTATATCTTTATTTTCAGATGCTGTGTYTCACATCACAGCCCTAATTCCTTCTATTCTCCTCCTCTCTGCCTCTCGCTGCTTTGCTGACACCGTGTACCAATGCATTCCTCACCCCTCGCACATTTGATCATTTGTATTCCCAATCAAGGGGGGGAATTTACGGCGTACACTCCTACTTCCTGTATTTCAAGCCCGCATTTGGAGGCTTACAAATGAATGAGGGGGTTGAGGGTTGTGTCTGCGCGCCTCTCCTGAGATCACCTGGCACACTTAATCAAACATCGCAGCTTTAATTTGGTGTTCAGTTTGTAGAGGGAACAACATCTACATCATCAGCTACAACAGAGTACAGCAGGGAGCGCGCTCTCACACACACACACACACACACACACACGTCAGGCAGGACTGATATTCAGATATTCTTCAGGAGTAAACTTTTGCTATTCAGATTCCTGCTTTGTCCACTTGAACCCCTCATTTTTAGTGTAAATAAAGCCAAGGGTTTAGTTTTTTTTCTGCAAAGCGTCTCACTGAAGCCTCAGATACAAACTGTACTTATCCAGAAACCACGTCTAACACCAAACTCCAACCAGAGACTCTGATGTGGGGTCTTGTTGTTTCCCAGCTTTAAATGTCAGAATCTGCTCCTTCACAGGTTGGGATTGTTTAAAGTGAGCTGTTCATTKACTCCTTCGTTTTACTCGTGTGGAWTTATTTATTTATTTATTTAAATGCTGCGCTTCATTTTCACGTAACCGTTGCGCCTGCGGTTCACTCCAGATTAGACGTGGAAAAAGGGAGAGAAGCAACACCCACTGCGATAGTTATTGAAGCGCGGGATGACATTTAGCTATAGTTAATTATGTATGCAAAACTCTGCCGCTCAGCTGCTATATGAGGTCAGCCTGACAAAGTAACCCCACACTGGGCCAACCTCCGTAGCCCTATTAAAACACGCACGCACTTTTCCTTTCTTAGCTTGCCTTATTCTCAACAATAGCTCAGAAATATTCCAYGTGTCTTTATAATTTATGTTTCTTTCCTAACTTTTACTCAAATATTTTTCTTCCTTTTTCTTTTTGCCGATTTTATAACCAGTGAAAAGTTTGGTTGTTTTTTTTTGCGACCATGCATAGGATTAATTTTGAGATTAATTTTGAGATTACTTCACCAGTCAKCTTATAAAATATTCCCTATTATTGCGCGGCTTTACAGGCAGAAAAAAGGGATAAATGAAAAATAAAAATCTCATATATATTTTTAGTTGAACGAATGTGTTTTATTGGTTTGAAGTCCCATGCTCTTTGTGTGCATGTATGCAGGCGCGATTGTTAAGAATGCGGTATATGCCTGTGTTTTGTTCAGACGTGCATGTGTGTGTTTGTGCATTAGCTGTGTGTGTGTGTGTGTGTGTGTGTGTGTGTGTGTGTGTGTGTGTGTGTGTGTGTGTGTGATGCTCAGACTGCAGCACATCAAAAGAAAGTGGGAGATTTTCATAACTATTTTTTTCTTTGTAGTTCTTTAATTGCATCCCCATGGCTTTCTTTCCCTGGACAGAAGCTTAAACAAAACACTCTTTTTGCAATGAGAAAATTTGACTTTTTTTTTTTCTTTTTCTCTCTTTCAAACAGACAAGTGTTGGGGTCACTGTTTGGGAGAGGTTTTCTATGTTGTATTAAAATTTTTGAGTATAATTCCAAATATATATTCAAGGCTTGCTGTAACTTTGTTTTTCTTTGATTGCTGTGGCTTTTTTTTTCTTTTGT